ATCACCAGGCCCATGGCCCACGGGCCCCATAATTCCACAGTGGCCAACTCAACGTCGTACACCCACTATTTCCGCCTGTAGCTGACTCATATTTGCGGGACCCAACCCGATGAGGGTGATGAAACCAGTTGCATTGACTTTTTCGAAACTATCAATTACAGTTGTGGGTAGTTTTCAAGTCCGCCAAAGAGAAAGCGCGATGTATTTTAGCGGGAGCGCGAAGAGCTCTTCATCCTCACTCCTCAGTGTTTATTGAGAAAATTAGGGTTTAAAAGAAAATTTTCTCCGATCTCATCGATTCAGACCTTTTAGTTTTCACTGATCGCCCCAGATTCAAAAGGCCACGCTCCTCATCTTCTTTTTCCTCTTTTTCGGGAGAAAACGATCGAGGTACGGATCAGATCGCAGATTATTTTGTTTCTAGGGTTTCACTTGGAGAATTTGGGTGCTATTTGGTTATATCGGTTAACTTCGTTGATTTCAATCGTCCTCGATGAAAATAGCTGAATTCGAGCGAGCAGCAGCTGACGTCGAGCTTTATTTTGTAGTTCTAGAGATTTATTGAGCTTTCTTTCTTGTTTCTTGCAGTTTGAGAAAAAGACAAATCTGAGGTCTTGATGATGCTTCCATCTGAAGCGATCGTGAATATTGTGTCGAGACTGAGCAGTAGATTTGATCTAAATTGAAATTGACTTAAGGTGCTATTATTTCGAGAGAATTTCGTGGCAGCAATTAGTGAAATTTTCTAATTCTTGAGTGACAGTACTTTAGGCTTAATTAGAATCTGAGTGACGTGAAAGTGATGGGCTTTATGCTGCTTGGTTCGACGCCTCCGCTGATCAAACGCAGAGCCGGGTTGCGGTGGACACAAGCAGGGCGAGGCTCGTACCGTGGAAGTTAGTGGGTAGATAGAGTAATTTTAAGGGTTTGATCATAAAAATTTCGGGTACAAAGTTTCAGCTCAGGTGATGGGAACTGCTAATACTACTGCTTTGAGACAGCTGCTGAGGGGTCTTTGCCAAAACTCGCACTGGAATTATGCATTGCTTTGGAAGCTCAAGGGAACGTAAGTTTTATTTCCTTTCATTGTGTATATTTCTTGAACTATTAGGGATGCTGCACAAAACTATTGTAAATAATTTTTATTAGAGAAAAAATGCTACAAAATTTCAAACCTACAGAAAATGGCCAACTGTAAAGCTGCTTTTCTGATAGTAAGTGGTATTTTTGATAGTATAATGAATTTTCATGCATATTTAAAAGTTTTTGGTATTTTCGTGCAAAACCCCCCAACAATTCATGGTAGTTTTGATAAAGTTACCCTAACTCTTTATATAGAAGTTACAGATTAACTATTGATCTCTATTCCAACTATTTAGCATGAGAGACAGACATGGAATTTGTGAGATAATGTACCGTATAACTCTCATATTAGGTTAAAAGAGAGAATATTAGGATTTTATTTTTCTTCATTTTTCTTTCATTTCAAGGGGCTGTCTGAGTGAAATGATTTTATCTGTCCAAGGAGAAGTCTATCTGCATTTGTTTACATCTTGAAGGCTATATGGCCTATAATTTTGTATATTTAATTGGACTCATCATATTAGATGTATTATGTATTAAAAGGGACTAGCAAAATGCTCACCTCGCAAGTTAAATATCAGAAACTTACTTTTTGGAACATAATACTTTTTGAGAAAATAAGGGGGCGTAGCCCATTCTATTGAAGAGAAAATACGTAAAAAGATGAAAAAAGGAGGGAAATACAGAATGATGTGAAGGTGAAAGGAATTACATCATGAGGTGAGGGGTATTATATGACTACAATTCATTACCTTGCACTACTGGTATGTGTATTGTTGTGAGACCATCAAATCAACAAGTTGTGTTGAATTATGAATGAACTCTTACACAGTGGACCTCTTTTCTTGCTAAATATTCTCTGATTTATTTTCTTCCAAATTAACCATAGAGTTGCCATAGTAAAACAATCCTATTCATTTTATTTTTAGACCTGAATACATATTCCTAAATAAAAAATAAAAAAAGAGGAAAAACTAAATTCTAACATCGTGATCATCCTGGTTATTCTTATGATTATTGTCATATCTAACGCAGCGCGGAAGTAAGAAACATTCGGAATCCACCAAAGGGTGTTCTCTGAATCCACAATGAACAATATTCGAATCCGCGAAGAGACAACCATGAATCCACAAAGTAATATAAAAGAAAATTTTATTGATGAAATAGATCTGATCCCTTTGGGGTTACATAACTCTTCTTAAATAGAAAAATAAAATAGACTTCTAATAAGATTAAAATTACAAAGAAATAGAAAATATCAAATCCTACCCTAAAAAGACTCCTTATAATAGAGGAAACAAATCAGTCCACTATGAATCGAAATTGAATTTGTTTCCTAGTCTAAATAGACTAACTTTATTACTAAAAGTAAACTAAATATTAATTATTTTCGAATTTCTGCTACTAACTGGTGATACTAATGAGTTTTTGGAAATCTAACAATCTGGTTGGCTTCGTCTCGTCGAGATAAATGATTTACATATATAATATGTCAGAATCCGTCTTGAAAGATATGATTGTTTCTTTCCGGAAGTCAATAACATATATGTATCCGCATTTAGCTTGTGATAATCTTGATCCTCCATGAAATTGTTGTTGGGAATTTAACGCCTAAATCCCCTAATGCAACGGAAACGCGGTATAGAGAACAGTACACAAGTTTTAACGAGGTTCGGCAACTGCCTACGTCCTCGGGAGCCACACAGATAATTTCTTATTAATCAAAGAAGAAATTACAATTTAGGAGCGGATCTTAAAACTGAGATTTCTCAAATAAACACTGTAGCTACAGTGTTAATAATCAAAGGGTATGAACCCTTTCAATTTCTCTCACTTGAGAATAAATAACCCCACAATTAAAAACCCCACTTTAATTCCCTCTTTCTCTTCTTAATCTCTCTTTTAATCTCCCCTCAAACTCCCGTTGAGAGCTGGAGAAAAAATCGCCTCTGCGATTTAGGGCAGCCGCCGCCTAGAGAAGAAGAAATCGGAGGAGAGGGGGGAAGAGTCAGCAACTTCGAAACCCTAGGTGAGGGGGTTTATATAAGCGGAGATGAGGAGCTGGCGACAGCCTGTCGCCAACAAATAACCCAGACGCAAAGGTCGGGTTCGCCAAAGAACGCAGAGTTCAGGGGGCAGGCGAACGCAGAGCTCGCCATCGACGCCAGCTTCGAACGAACGCAGAGCTCGAGGCTTCGAGCTCGTCCTGTCGCCTGGACCTCGCCGCCTGTCGCCAGGACCTCGCCGCCGCCATCCTGGAGCTCGTTGGAGCTCCTCCGCCGCCGGAGGTTGGTATCCACCCCCAACCTAACAATCTCCCACTTGGAGACCAAACCGACGACAATCAGGCTATCTCATCAAGCTCCTCTCCTGTGTGGCTCCGCCTTCATCATCTATGCATGAAGGCCAACTGAAGTTGCACACAACTTCAGTTTCTGAAAGGTCGCTGCCTTCGTCAATATATCCGTTGGATCATTTCTTCCTTGGATATTCTGTTGAAATCCTTTAACAACTCGTCGGGCTCTGTATCTTCTGGAACCATTCCGCCGCCATCCTGGAGCTCGTTGGAGCTCCTCCGCCGCCGGAGGTTGGTATCCACCCCCAACCTAACAATTGTCTGTTAGGCATCCTACATCAATATCTAAGCTTTTTCTCAAGTGATTGAGGTTGCTTTTTTAGTTTTATTAAACCTGAGTAAATTCCAATAAAAAATTGACCATTTTATGTTGACAATCTGCTGCTATGGTGAATCACTTTCAGCTTTGTGGCAGAGTATAAGCCAAACCACTTAAAGTCAAGTAAACATGATGGTTGAGGGCATAATCTGAGCAAAAGTACTCAATAAGGTCACAGAAAACAGTGAATGACATTAACTATACTTTAAAATATTTTTTGTAGATCACCACTTTTGTAGTTTCAAATTTTAACCCCAGATATTTTTTCTTTTTCAGGAGATTATTCTGGGACGATTGTTATTTCGATGATGAACATGCAGGTGGATTCCTTAATGAGGAACTCGGATTTATATCTTTCAGCAGTCAAATAAATACAAGTAGGAACTCTGCTAAGTGGCTGATTGAAAAAGCAGTGGTCAGCTTGTCCTGCCTCTCATATCCACTTGGAGAAGGGTATGCTTTATGGCTCACTATATGTCGAATATTTATTCTTCTCTTTATGGATTAATTTGTTTGGTAAAATAAAAGATTGTCATAGACCTTTTCACGCGGTAAGAGTTATGTGTCATGATATCTTGGCACATGTAATCCCTGTTTCACTTTTGTCCTTGCTTCATGTTGTGCGATATGGTGATTATTGCTTGTCTAGATTCATTAGTTCTGTGAATCAGTGATAGAAATTGTAAAAAGTATAATAATGTTGATAACCTTTCTTCCCCAATCTGAAACATGCAACTATTAACTGAATTTCTTTCTTACCTAGTTGTGCAGTGCTTTAATTGTTAGTGGTAGTGATTCTTGAAGTTAACAACTTGAGACTAGGCCAGTTTCCCTTGTGGCTGAAGGAGCATAGTTCTATGTTCAAATGATATTCCTCAAAAGAAATAAATATTGGTGGCATTCATGGATGGATACAGGCTACAGCATTCTTGACAGTTCTAATATGGTTCACATGAACTTTCCCTTCTTTACAACGATCTGCATAAATATAACCTCACACCAAACATACATTCAGCAGTTTATCCATACACTTTGGGCAAAAAAAATGTTATCTTGGTATTACATTTACGTCGAACACTGCAAAAATTCAGATTGTTGATTAATGATATGATTCATATGGTTTCACAGTTCATTCTGCATTATATTTCTGATCTAGCAGGATTACTGGCAAAGTGGCATCACAAAGGAAGCATCATTGGGCCTATTGTGACAAAATTGCCTCCAGAATGCTGGAAGGGGTAAGCTGCTAGTTTCTTAGATTTACTCCAGCGCCAACGATTCACAGATTTGGTTCCTTTTATCACAATTAAAATTGATGGTTGATGCAATATGGCTTGCATGCAGTTCCCTGAAGAATGGAATCCACAGACTATGGTTGGTATCAAGGTAATATGACGTCATGCTTAACCAGGATGTTCAATAGACCTGTATAGCAACATTATATGTTAGTTTTTTTTGAAGCAGTTGTCAGAAGGGTGTTTTGATTTTAAGCCTTCCGCTCTTGCAGACGATTTTGCTTGTGCCTGTTATTCCTCTTGGGGTTGTGCAACTTGGGTCTATGGATATGGTGCGTCTACATCTTATTAGACTTATTTACCAATTAAGTTGAATCTGTTGTATTCATTTCCTCCTAGCTTGCATATTTGTATTCCAATGCTAGGTTTGATTAACTGACCTATTAGATTGACATTTGCTAGTAATACTTATTACTTCAATTGTATAACTGTTGGTGCTGAAAATTTTACTTCATGAAAATCTATAATTTTTTGTTTCATTTACTTGAAGTTATTTACATTGTAAGGGCCAAGCAGTGGAGCTTTATCTTATTGCAAGTTCCTTAAGACCTAGTATTCTAGTTTGCAACTATATGAGGGCATTTATGTTCACATTTACTATCAGGATTTTCGATCTTAGTGCACTAGGCATGAAAGTTTGCTTTACCTTATGTTTAATTTTTTCTAAAATTTCATTTAAAGTTTCATGTGGAACTTCTGTGCATCAGGTCTTTGAGGATTTAAGAGAGGTAGTTCGCATCAGAGATTATTTTGACATAATCCAGAATACTTCACAAAGTCATACTTCTTTATCACCAAGTACGGATTGCCTACATTCCTGCATGCCTTTGGTCTTGTCTCCGGTAGTGAATCATTTCACATCTCAAGTCAATTCTGATGATATTCCAAATTGCTATCTCTTGCAATATCTAATTAAAAAAATGTTTCTGCGCGTACCATCTCATCAGTAAGTAATGTGTACTTTCCTTCTACAACAATTTATGATTCAGGACAATTTTCCACTCCCAGTCGATGCTCTTGACCAGATTCTTGGGGCGGATATAGGGGCTTATGCAGACGAAAGTAAATGGCAATCTATGTTTAGCAACTTGTTTGAAGATCATACTGAAGAACCACCCACGTTTGACCTACCTTTATTTGGAGACTGTATATCTGAATTTGTGTCATCTTCATCTCTGCAGGATGAGTTGCATGTAATTTCTTCCATCAGTCCTACATTAATTTCCAGGGATCCTATTATACCAAAACTCTTTGCAGAAGATCTTGGACATGCTGACCACAATGGTCATAATTTTACAGAGGAATTTGATGCAGCAACAAATTCTATAGTCGACCTCAAACCTCCAAGCTTCCAATATGAGTCTGAGCTGCAAGAAGCACTTGGGCTAAGTTTAGAAGAGTTCGATGATTGCATAGATGGTATTGTGTCGAAAGCTGATGAATGGAGAAACTCGATGGCCTTCTGCCAGAAGGAACTTCCAGAAGTTTGTAATCCCATTTTTGAAGATGCTGATGCGTTATTCCCTAAAGAAAGAGGGACAGAACAATTACTAGATGCAGTGATAGCCAAGTTACTTGATACCTCATATGATAATGAACCCTCTGAATCTGGACATTTAAGTTTGTGGAGCAACTCATCAAGTAAGTGTTCAGATTCTTGCTTAACACATTATAAGATTGAAAATGATGTCCTCAATCTTGGGGAGTCGGTTTCACTTAGCTGTAAAAGGTCCATGATTGCCTCTGAAAATGAAGGCTTCCCAAATTCTCCCGCCAGATCTTCTATTAAGAGAAGTATTGATGTGCAATTAAGTAAAGAAGAACAAGAGACAACATATAAACGGTATAAAAAAGGCTCAAAGCTAACAAATATTACCGTTAAAAGAGGCGATGCCAAAGATATGCACAAGCCAAAGCCTCGAGACAGACAGTTAATACAGGAACGCATCAAGCAGTTACGAGAACTCATTCCTGATGGATCTAAGGTATATATACCTGCTTCTGGATTGCTAGTCTCTTTCATGGAACTGTTTAGACTATCAAGGTTTCATTACAATAGTTGATGTGATTCTTTTCTATTATTCAGTGCAGCATTGACTCATTGCTGAATAGAACTATCAAACATATGTTGTTCCTGGAAAGTATTCCCCATCAGGCGGAAATGTTGAGACATTCCGCAGAAACAAAGGTACATATAACCTCATAGAAAACTTTTGGCATTGATAACCTTTTGAGATACTATTTAGTTAATTTAGAATCATCTATCATCTATTGTTCACCACTTTGGAAATATTGATTGAGTTACTCGACTATTTTAGATATCCATCTCTTCCACCATGTTCATATACTAGCTCGACTGTTTTAAATATCCATCTAATAAAATGTACATCTTTTCCACCATTTCCGATGCCTGCTTAAAGCTTTAAATGTCATAATCAAAATTTTTATGACAACATAATGTCGTTGAAGTGAGGAAAACTACTTGCCAATTCCTGAGTTAGTTGGAACTTTGTGGGTCCAACCATTTATCAGGATAAATATTTTCAGTAATAATTCTTGACCCAACCAATGGTTTTCATTTTACAAACTGGATAGAAACTTCAAGCTCCTCACAGTATACTTACTGCCCAATTTCCAGTCCATGATTAGACGATATACTTCTCAGGTTTCAAGTTTTTAAAAATGCATTGCTGGAACCTTTAGGCAGATATGGCCCAAGGGAATTTCATACCTTGATGCATTTTCTCATAAATAAATTTCAAGAATCAATGTGTTCAAAGAGTAAATCGTCTAATAAATCGTCTTTTCAGATTGGAGGTGCGTATCACAACTCATCTGGGTATCGTACTTGCAGAAATGGGGCCAGTTGGGCATATGAAATGGGAAATAACTCGAAACAATGCCCTTTGATTGTTGAAGAACTTGAGCCGCCGGGGCAATTACTTGTTGAGGTATGAATACTAGTATTTGATTCTTGCTGTGTGCATTATAGAACATGAATAAACATTTCTAGTCTTCTGTTGCTGTAGATGCAATGCGAAGATTATGAGCTTTTTTTAGACATAGCTCAGGTTGTCAGACGCCTGAAACTGAGCATTCTAAAAGGCATCTTACAAGTGAAATCAAATAAACCACGGGCACATTTCATTCTCGAGGTAAGCTGGTACCAACGTAAATAGGAAACTACACACATTAATTTAGGGTAAATTACACAAAACCCCCATGAACTTTCAGCAATTTGCAGTAAGCCCCCAATAGTTTCTAAAATCGCATCCAATAACTATTGGAATTGCAGAATACCCCAATAGGTTCTGTGTTTTGGAGATAACTCCATAGTGGCGTCAGCCCACATTTAGGGTCTAAAAGCGTTGCTAACGCAAAATGTGGACTGACGCCATCATGGTGGTTATATGCAAAACCCAACAACTTATTGGGGGTTTCTGCAATTCCAATAGCTATTGGGTGTTTAGTGCGATTTTAGAAGTTATTGATGGTTTACTGCAAAATGCTAAAATTTTTTTTGAGGGGGTGGGTTAGTGTAATTTTGCTGTTAGCCGTTAAATTTACTTATAGTCAATGACCTGAGATGTAATTATCTTGAACAGACGCCCAAGGGATTCAACCGGATGGAGATACTTTGGCCATTAGTGCGGCTGCTTCAGCGCAACAATGTACCCACCACTCAACTGTTGTAAACAAAACTAATCTGTAGAAGCTCTAAAGCTGCCCGCTTATCGTATTGCTCTGTTTGCTGGAGTCTTTGCATGTATCCACAGGTCTTATACGGGTAGTCGTGTGATAAAATTGTTTTGCGAGGGGCGGCGTCCAATTATTCGTGTATTGTTTGGATTTCAAGTGGACGATATGTACCTATGAGGTTTTTCGGATGCTTGTCATAGGAGATTGTTGTTGTTGTTGTTGTTTGCGGATTCTTTGCTTAATGTTATTTTTTGCCCCTCAGTTTGAAATGCAGTTCCAACTTCCTCTTTTCACCTATTTTGCTTTTACAACAAAATCTAACAACGCATTTATGTTTGAAATTTGAATGTAATTGGAACTGACATTTATTGTTTGTTATTATGTTTCCTTTTCGAGAGGAAGGCCTTATGTAGAAACTAAGTGATACGTTACAGTAATTTGATTTTCAATATTTACAGTGCACAAAACCTTTTTTGATATTTATTGTATATTTCCGTCATATGATATTAGTCGTGGCATCGTGAGGTTTTTAGATATGTCTTAATATTATATTCGTTCTGTTCATCTGGGGTAATTTCAATTAGTCAATAATGTAAAGTCGTTGTCAACAAAATATTAATACATAGAACTTAAGTTACATTAGACAAAATGGCACGTGCAACATATACAGGGTTACATATACGCGGTAACAAAGAGCACTAATTCGAGCATCACACGGGATAAATCTCTATTCTCCTATATTTATAGGAGGATCCTAAGATTCACTATTTATTATCACTATAGCACAAAACAGAATACTGTAGCATTTTTAAAAATTACTGTAGCGAAAATAAAAAATGGTCGTGTTTTACACCGGGTGGGCGCTAGTACTAGCTTATATTGGAAATTTGAAGGTAATTGGAGCTGACTCCCATTGTTCCTGTCCCAAACCCACGGAGATTACTCAACATGCACAAACTTCGCGAGATTGTGTCCCAGTTTACTAAATTCTAAGGGGCTGTTTGGTTGGCATTTTTGCCCTTGTAAAGCTGCCAAAACTGGCAAAAGCTGTCAGTTTTGGCAGCTTTACTTGCAAAAACGCCCAAAAATGAGCGTTTTTGCAAGTAAAGCTGTCAAAACTGACAGCTTTTGTCAGTTTTGACAGCTTTAAAGCTGTCAGTTTTGACAGTTTTATAAGAGCAAAAAATGCCAACCAAACAGCCTCTTAAGAAAGCTTGACGAATTCCTTTTTTGATTTCCGTACCCAAAAGGTCCAGCATACTACTCTCAAGAGGCCCAAACATTTCACCGAGCCCTGCACTCACGTGACCAAGGTCAAGCCCATTGGGCTGAGTATTACTACTCATTCTCTCTCCTCGCTCTCACTCACACACACTCTCTCTCTCTCTTCCTCGCGCGCCAGATCTCGGACTTGAGAGATCAGATCATGCAACCGATCGTCAACGGCAACGATCTGCTCAAAACTCCGCAGATCCTCAGAATCTCCATCCTCTTCCTCGCCGCCATCGCCGCCTTCTACCTCGGCAAGCACTGGTCCGATGGCAGCTACCCCCAGTTCATCTTCTTCAACGCCAGCTCCAACTCCGCCGACTCCTTCCGGCGGCCACCGTCGCATCTCTCCCCAACGCCAACCTCACCTTCAACACATCCGATCTGATCCTTCGTCACCGCTCCGTCCTCTCCTCCGCCGCCGCGGCGGCGGCGGCGACGGTACGGAGTCGTCGCCGATAACGGGACGATGAGGACGGACTTCTATGTAGGGGAGTTCGTCACGGAATCTGGATGATAGCGGCGCGGGGTGAGCAATGAGACGCAGGGAGGATATCGGTGGGGGTGCTAGGGTTAGGGTTAGGGTTGGGAAGTTTAGGGTTTGTGACAAGCGGATGAGGGAGTATATACCGTGCTTGGATAATGTGGAGGCGATCAAGAGGCTGAGGTCGACGGAGAGAGGGGAGAGGTTCGAGAGGTTTTGTCCGGAGAGGGCTTTGGATTGCTTGGTTCCGGCGCCCAAGGATTACAAGTCGCCGATCCCGTGGCCGCAGAGTAGAGACGAGGTTCTTTTCCCCCCATCTCACTTTGACTGCCTATTTTTGTTGATTTTGACTGTTAACTTCATGGATTATGGAATTAAGTCTGTTAGAGGTTTAGCTGCACTGTTTATATGTTATATTAGTGTTTAGTATTGCAAACTGGGGGTTTAGTAACAAACCTTGAGCATTTCTGGTTCAAAGTTTGTCGGTTTAGTAACAGATCTTTCATTTTGCATTCTGCAGTTCAGCTACTGTTACATTGTCTTTTCTATTTATAGACAGAAAGCAAATAGGAAGTTCTGTTAACTGCCTGTATATGCTAATGATGTCGATCGTAGATGTTACTATATGCAATGATTTTGCTGAACAGTCAAGGATACAAGTATTGGTTTTATTTTCAAGCTAGTTTATTGACATCATCGACTAGTGGTGACTGAATTTTGAATGAGCCCACCGCATAGAGTCTTTTATTGGAAACTTGATTGTGGGAAAAAAAATTGATTTCTTAAATTGATTTTGCAATTGAATTTCTTCGGTTCACTTTTTTTTTCATTTTTTTTCTTTCATAACTCTTGTAGTTGTTTCCATTTAGCGCTTGAGAAAAATTTATATACTGACCTGAAATCTATCGCAGGTTTGGTTTAGTAATGTACCACATTCACGTTTGGTTGAAGATAAAGGAGGACAGAATTGGATTACGCGTGTTGGAGATAAGTTTGTATTTCCTGGGGGTGGAACTCAGTTCATACATGGAGCAGATAAATATCTTGATCAGATAGCTGAGGTTCTTGACACATAAAACCTTTGTTCAGTTAAAATTTCATGATCCCTGTTTGATCCCAAATTGATTGCTTTATATGTCATTTGTTACAATCTATGCAGATGGTACCAGATGTAGCATTTGGTAAACATACAAGAGTTGCACTGGATGTTGGATGTGGGGTAGCAAGTTTTGGTGCTTTTCTACTTTCAAGGAATGTGGTCACCTTGTCAGTAGCTCCAAAAGATGTACATGAGAACCAGATTCAGTTTGCTCTAGAGCGTGGTGTGCCTGCAATGGTAGCAGCTTTTGCGACACATCGGTTATTGTATCCAAGTCAGGCATTTGACCTGATTCATTGCTCCAGGTGTCGAATTAACTGGACCCGTGATGGTAATTCACTACTTCATTTTTTTATGAGTAATTAAGTATACTGCACTCTTGCTGAGATAACAAGTTAGGTATTATCTCTATAGTGCATCTCATTCTTCACATTATCATCTTATTAGTTTGAATATTGCTCTGTTTTCCCAGTGTCGGGTTTGATTATTTCTAATTATATATCACAGTAGGGCATCTTTTTCGTCTAGATCAATGTTTGAACCTTTGTTGATTATGCCTCTGTCTAGAGGTTGTTTAATGTTTTGGCATTTCCATTTGGAATAAGTAGAAGTGTAAAAAAAAGCTATAGTATCTGCTTGCCTTCTCCTTTTTGAACCACACATTATAGACAATATAATAGCTCATTGTTCATTAGAGTTGCTTTTATTTTCTGGAGATAAAACTTATGTGCATTCGGCTTACATATAAAGAGAAACCTGATTCCACAGAGAACCATAATTTCTCATTTAATATGATTCATTTGGACCTCTCTTGTCTCTCCATATTGTTCGACCAATGCTCCTAGGGAAGCATCAAGTCTATATTCAAAGGTCTTATAATATCATCAATTACTTCTCGAAAAGCATGGTCCTGAACCCACTCACTGCCCTACTTAATAGAGGCTATTCCTAAGTAGTAAAGCACTCATTAGACTAAGTTGCTATATTCATGTGTTTATGACACTGAGCAACTTTTGTTCATTGTGAAGATGGAATTCTGCTTCTTGAGGTCAATAGATTGCTTAGAGCTGGAGGCTACTTTGCTTGGGCTGCGCAGCCGGTTTACAAACATGAGGAGCTTCAACAAGAAGCATGGAAAGGTATCTCTTCTCAGGCCTGTCATCGAAAGAGTCAAAACATTTTTTGTGTCTGTTTACTGTGTTTCCTGGTGCAAACTGCTATTTGATAATATTGGCGCATGAAGTTTTACTGAATATGTTTGGTAGGATATCACCTTAACTTTCTTTTTTTAGGGGTAGCTTTATAAATCATACACTGTCCAGACAAGGTTTCCTTTGAAGGCAAAAGGCTTTGGGACTATTCACATTGCATTTATAGTAAAGATTGAGTGTGACTTTCTTGAATTGTCAAACTAAATTCAGTTGGCTAATATTTGGTTCCACAATAATGAAAAATTTCAAATGAAAATTTGGGTTTCACATGTCTTTCCAGCTTGTTGGAAGGTTTCCCTTTTCTTTTATGCTGGATGAAATTAATTTCTTCTTGCTTTTCTTCATGTGGTGCTTATATGTGTTTGTATATTTAGAAATGGAGGACCTTACAACTCGAATGTGTTGGGAGCTTGTGAAGAAAGAAGGATATATTGCAATGTGGAGGAAGCCTTTGAATAATTCATGCTATGTCAATCGTGATCCAGGAGTTCAACCTCCACTATGCGATGTGGAGGATGACCCAAATAGTGTGTGGTACCTTCAATAACTTATTACACTCTGCTTAATAAATGGAGAAAAAAATAAAATTAAAAAAATAAAAGTCCTGAGACGGTTGTGTTCTGATTCCTTGTTTTAAGTTGCAGCTTTCCAACATATAAGAGTTTGTGATAAGATTCTTTAAGTTGATCGAGGAAAACTAAAAAGATGTATTTGAGTATTTAATACAGTCCAATCAGTCAAATTGAGATAAGTCTCTGTTCCCTTTTTTAAGATCCGTAATTCTCTGTTCCTTTCTTTTAGATCCGTCCCTCTCTAAGTCACCATCATCCTTACCCATCAAAATGAGTTTGCACCAACAATAAGGATGTAAACCTGAACTGTTGGTAAGTTTAAATATCGTAATATACATAGGTGATTAAGGCAATTCAGGAAGCCTATTAGCAAACAAAAGTTTAGTCTTGCAAATGGAATGTTCATGATTCCTGAGATATTATCTGGTTAGGGCAGTTTGTCTAAAGTTAAGGAGCTTTTTGCCCAAAAAAAAGGCATTGATAGGATATTAACGAAATCCAGTGCAGTGATGTGCATGATGTCTCCACAATGTCACCCACATCTTCACGATTTCTTTTTCTTTGATTCCTTCACCTACTTTCTAAGTTTTTCTCTGTTCTTCACCCTTCAGGTATGTTAATCTCAAACCGTGTATCAGTCAACTTCCTGAAAATGGCTATGGGACAAATCTTACGGCCTGGCCTGCTCGTTTGCATGAGCCTCCAAAAAGGCTCCAGGATGTGGAGATGGATTCTTACATAGCTAAAAACGAGCTCTTCAAGGCAGAAGCAAGATATTGGAAAGACATTGTTGAAGGTTATATACGTGTTTTTCGTTGGAAAACATTAAGACTGCGGAATATAATGGATATGAGGGCTGGATTCGGAGGGTAAGTATTTCTCTCTCTTGCCTTCATCTAATTTCAATTAGCATTCCTGGTGGCATTAGATTAATATACTCGAGTGAAACTTCACTAAACCTGACAAGGGTTCATCTATCTTAAACTAAGAGGCCTTCCGATCTTTTAAAGAATATTAAATATTAAATAAAAGGGGACTAAATACTAAATTTTAACTTACTGGAGATTTATCATTTTGTTGTTGGTAGCCATTAAGCATTGAGAGAAATTTGAAACAAGCTAGAATTGTTATTTTATTGACTGTCTAATGTGCTATGGCTCATAGAACACCTCTAATCAACATGTTGTTGCTGCCAGTTTCAATTATTTTATCCGCAAGGGTTCCTTAGAGTTTCTGTTTAGTTAATAGCTATTCCAAGTGGATGTTAATTTAGTACATTACTTTTTAGATTCCAATTATTTTGATAGGATCCAGACGATATTAATAAAACAAATGTCTACATGATAAGCTTGTAATCAAACCCAAAATGCAACAATAGTACATCATAAGCGGAGCTTTTCTTCTGTTGTGTGTCCTCTTAACAGCTTTACTTTTCATTCTGTAGATTACATGGTCATTCTTTTACTGTTGTGGTTCCTTTCAGTTCTTTTGGTATTAAGCTAGTTATGCAGCATAATTAAGTTTTGTTTTCAATGCCCTTCTTTCATACTTATCAAATTACTTGTTACTGATATTTGGCTATGTTCCTTTCGTTTTCAGGTTTGCTGCTGCAATTAATGACCAGCAAATAAATAGCTGGGTCATGAACGTTGTCCCTGTCAGTGGACACAACACACTGCCTGTAATATATGATCGTGGTCTTATAGGAGTCGCACATGACTGGTATTGTCTTGTGACCCCGTCTAGAAATTTTTCTGTTATTTTTCCTTTTTCTGTCTTTTTGAGCAGACCCACTTAAACTTGTTTCCTTCAAAATATTCTTACAAATTTTTCTGCTCTTGGATCTCTTTTATACTAGAAAACAGTTTGATGATATGGCACTGACAAATAACAATAACAACTTGTGCCTTGGAAACAAAATCTGCTCTCCTCCTTGTCAAAGTTTTGCAATTGTACTACCTTAACACTTTATCGTGGTTACAAGAGGCCTTATTGTCCTATTTATGTATGTATGGACTATAAACAACGGGACCCATTTTTGGGTTGAAACAAAATTATTCCTTGAGGTGACCCGGGGGGGCACTGGAAGGAAAATATAGCTTTGTTATTTCGACAGTTATTTATAATAACTGCTTCAACCCTGCCCTACTCCAAACAACTTACATGTACAATATTACATTTAGTTTTGTACAGTTTTAGTAATTTTTTAGAACATAACTGCTGAACTCAAGAGTTTGTGAAACGTCTGAAAACTGCTATTGATTGACTTAAGGATCACATAACTGTATTACTCGCTCTTCTTAAGAATCTTTCCAATGATCATATTAAGCTTCTTCATCTTAAGATTCCTGATGCCCTATTCTGTTCCTACAGGTGTGAATCATTTGATACATATCCTCGAACCTATGACCTCCTCCATGCATCTGGACTCTTCTCCAGAGAGCGGAAAAGGTAATATTCTCTTTCAATAGTAAACTTGCAGTTCTTTCACATCTTGTTGGAATCAGAACTTAATTCTGTTGTGTTTTAGCATACAAACCAAAGATAAATTTTTATAATTACGAGTATTAGAAATGGACTATAGGGTAGTGGCTCATCTTCAGTGGAGCCCATGATCTAACTGAAGATCAGGCTGCGAAATTGGTATTTCATGTATCTAATAGTTTCAAATAACGTCATCTAGCAAATTGATGGTGTGAACGTATGGTACATACCATTGAACAGTTATCCATAAACTAGACAGAGTTATAACTCAAATTAATACAAATTACCAATCCAACAAAGCAAACCAACTGTTTTCACTAATTCCTACTCAGTTTGGCCCTCTTTGATGGTGAAAGGACACATATAAAAAGCTGTTTATTTTTTTTAATTAGCTAGGGACTAGCAATATTTTTTCACTTTCAATTGTTTGAAAGAACTCCTAATATTACAATTAATGGAGAAAGGAGGACCAGGGATAGGCCCACGAGAACTTGGTTGGAAGCAATTACGAATTTGTGTAGCTGACCAAAAATTTGGGATGGAGGCTTTATTGTTGTTACTGTAAAAGTGTCCTAAATTTACTTGGAAAGCTCTCTAATAACTATACCAGGTGCAACATCACGTTGATTTTGCTGGAGATGGATCGCATACTAAGACCCGGCGGATTGGCTTATATACGTGATTCCAAATCTGTACTCGAGGAGATCAAAGAAATCACAGAGGCCATGGGATGGAGATCTGACCTTCGAGATACATCTGGAGGCCCATACGCAAACAGAAAGATTTTGACATGCCAGAAATAGATGTCGAGTTGAAATTTTCTCGGCATGTTATATGAAAGGGGGAATTAAAATGCATGCCAAAACTCCTCTCAATCATAGCTGAGAGTGGAACAGGCATTCACAACTGGTGCTAACTGGTCTGCGATAGCGTGTACTATACAAATGTTCAGCGACTGGGGCTCAACTTTTCTGAAATACTGTTATGAAAGTTGTATTCTTCTCAGCAGTTCTTATTTTTTGTACACTAAAATAGGTGATTAATTGTTTCATTAGATTGTTCTTTTATTTGCTTTAGGTTAATTGTATGTAATTCGTCTGTAATTGGACGATACTTAGTAATTTTATGTAGTAAATGTTTATTTATGCTGTTTATTTCACCAGTCTTCATAGTCGTCTTCTTTTGGGTCGAGGTTTAGATTATTGTACTGTGTTCCAAAATTTACTATTTGATAGGATGAGAAATGTTCCAGCCCACGCAGATGTATGAGAATGGCGCCTCTTTGTCATAAAATGTTGTTATTGTTACTTGATTTATTCTGAAATTCGTCGGTTGCAACTTTAAGGGTGAAAAAGCTCAGATGCTTTCGTAAACGCGATATCCCTATTCATATATTTCATGTTATAAAAATAGCGGATTTTGATCATCATATTTACATTGTTTGGTTTGCAACTTTGCGGTTAGGAAATGTTAATGGAGTTGCATTTTGTGGAAAAAAACTTGCAACAAATGCTACGGTCAAGACGGGAGGGAAAGGTGCAAGCTTTAAATAAAAATAAAATAAAACATAAATATAATTCCACATCATTAAAAAAATCTTTTTAAAATTCACATAGAAAAACTACCTACACCAAGTTTTCCTATATGAAAAAATTTTAAACTAATTTTTTTCAACCAAACACTGGATTTGCATTGAAAAAATATTTTTTATAATTAATATAATTACAAAATATCCAAATAACAGAATTTGAAACTGATTTTCTACGACAAAATGTTGCATACGACATTGTAGCAAACCAAACAGCACCTTGGTGAAAGACCACAATGGAGTTTATAGTAATATTAATTAATCATACACATTTGATGCTATCATTAGGAAATTCATAAATAATTTTTTTTTTTTGGATATTCATGCTTAAAAAGGGCTAAATACCCATATTGGTATTTTAATTCCACCCCAATTTCTAACAAGGTATTTTAAATAGGCAAACCCGCTTTAAGACATTTTGATTGATCCAACTAACCAATAAGGCATGGTTTCTCGTCGACGGGCAAATTTCCGGCGAGATCTCGTCACGTGCATGGCACATGATGTCTCAAAACTCGTTTTTAGCAGCGACGACGACAACAATCTCGTTATATTCAGCCGATTCGATGGGGTTAGCGATCTCAGGCGACGTCATAACCGTTATTGTATCCTACTTTGGGCTGAATATGGCGAGATTGTTGCCATCGCCGCAGCTAAAAATGAGTTTTGAGACATCACGTGCCATGCACGTGACGAGATCTCGTCAGAAATTTGCCCGCCGACTAGAAAACATGTATTATTGATTAGTTGGATCAATTAAAATGTCTTAAAGCAGGTTTGCCTATTTAAAATACTTTGTTGGAAATTGGGTTGGAATTAAAATACTAATATGGGTATTTAGCCGCTTAAAAAGCAACAACTATTTTAAGGCTTACGAAAGGCCCAAAATTATCCAAGCCCATGCAATATTTTGCACAGGCAATATTTTTTTTAAAAACAGATTTAAACGTGAAGAAGTAGCCGAAATAATTACATTAAATCCTCAAAAGGGTAGAAACTCGCTCGCGGGGCATTGTTCTTTTCTCAATCGTTCTCTTTCTCGTTGAAATCAATCAGGTAAAATCCCAAACGCAAATTTAAGGGAAACATATCATAATCTACGATTCAACGTTTTATTTATTTATTTATTTTTCCTCTTTAAAATTGACGGTACCTTTTGACGATCCGAATCCTATCAATCTGCAATTACTATTACTAGGATCTCATAATAAGATCTCAAAACCTGTCTAGTTTTTTTTTTTGTTGTTGCTTATTTGATTAATTAGGGTTTCTTCGGGAATATTTATAAGAATCCTATCAATCCGAATCCTATCAATCCGAATCCTATCAACTTTTGGGGAGATGGAGAACTCAGTTTGTGTAGTATAATATAACATTTTCATAAGAAAAGTTTAAATTTTATATATATATATATATATCTCATAATAAGATCTCAAAACCTGTCTAGTTTTTTTTTTTGTTGTTGCTTATTTGATTAATTAGGGTTTCTTCGGGAATATTTATAAGAATCCTATCAATCCGAATCCTATCAATCCGAATCCTATCAACTTTTGGGGAGATGGAGAACTCAGTTTGTGTAGTATAATATAACATTTTCATAAGAAAAGTTTAAATTTTATATATATATATATATAAATCCTATCAATCCGAATCCTATCAATCCGAATCCTATCAACTTTTGGGGAGATGGAGAACTCAGTTTGTGTAGTATAATATAACATTTTCATAAGAAAAGTTTAGCTT